AAAGAAAAATTTGCTAACTAAAAATTCTATATATCCAGAAAAATAATCCTTAAAGAAGAAGGAGAAAAAAGATATTTCAAGAGAAACAAAGGCTGGAGTTCATTACCAGTAGATCTATCCTAAAATAAATGCTAAAGGGAGTCCTTTGGGTTGAAATGAAGACACTGAATAGGTACTTGAAGACATAAAATTTAAAGAGCCCTGGCCGGTTTGGTTCAGTGGTTGGAGTGTTGGTCCGCGGAGCAAAGGGTCGCAGTTTCAATTCCAGCCAAAAGCAGGTACCTTGGTTGCGGTTTGTCCCTGGCCCTGGTCAGGGTCCTAAGGGAGACAGCCAATTGGAGACAGCCAATTGATGTGTCTCTCTCACATTGATGATTCTCTCTCTCTCTCTCTCTCTCTCTCTCTCTCTTCCCCTCCCTCCCCTCCCACTCTATCTGAAGATATTTGGAAAAATATCCTCGGGTGAGAATTTAAAAAAAAATATATATATATTTATTATTATTATTATTTTATCCTCACCCGAGGACATTTTTCCATTTTTTGTTCAATAAAAAAAAAAATTAAAGAACACTGATAAATATAAAGCCTAATATTATTGTACTTTTGGTTTGGTATATAACTTCTCTTTTTCTTGTATGAGTTAAAAGGTAAATGTATAAAGCAATAACTACAAATTTATGTTAATAGGCATACAGTATATACCCTGGCCAGTTTGGTTCAGCAGTTGAACATCGGCCTGCGTACCAGAGTCCTGGGTTCGGTTCCTGCTAGGGGCATGTGCTGCAAAAAAATAAAAATAATAATGTCCCGAATATGCCCTGGCCGATTTGGCTCAGCAGTTAGAGCATCAGCCCGCGGACCGGAGAGTACCGAGTTTGGTTTCCACTAAGGCCATGTACCTTGGTTGCAGTTTGTCCCCGGCTCCGGTTGGGGTCGTGTGGGTGGCAACCAGTCCATGTGTCTCTCTCACATCAATGTTTCTCTCTCTCTCCCTCCTGCTCTATCTGAAGATAAATGCAAAAAATGTCCTCTGGTGAGGATAAAAAAAAATTTTTTTTTCTTTTAAATAGGTATACAGTATATAAGTAATCTCAAAAATATAGAAGAGGAGGAATGGTGATATAATATAACACATATACTATTGAAAATAAGTTGGTATAATTAAATCTTATTTTATTTTATAATTGTTTTAAATTATAAACATTTATAATTGTTGTAATTATTTTATTCTAATTATTATAGGTTTAAGATGTTAATTGTAATTTTCACCAAGGAAATAAAAATATATGTAAGGAAAGAAGAAGGGAATCAAAATGGTACATTACCAAAAAATCAACTAAATTAAAAAATAAAGAGGCCATAACGGGGGGGGGAGGGGCATTGAGGAATAAAAAACATAAAAGACATGCAGAAAATGTACACATAACCAATGGACATGGACAACAAAGCTGGGGATGGGGTGGGGGGATGGGGAGGAGGGTGTCAATAGGGTAAAAAAGGAGAAACATCTGTAACAAAAATACAAAAAAAAGACATGTGAAAACAAAGAGCTAAGTGGAAAAATATAAATACTTCACCACTAAACACAATAAATATAAATGGATTAAACTCATATTAAAAGACTGATATTGGCAGAATAGATTAAAAAACATGACCCATCTTTATGAATCCTATAAGATATTCAATTAGACATAGGGACACAAAGAAGTTAAAAGTAAAAGGATGGCCCTGGCCAGTGTTGTTCAGTGGTTAGAATGTTGGTCCATGCACCAAAGGGTCACAGGTTCAATTCCTAGTTAAGGGAACATGCCTGGGTTGCAGGTTCAATCCCTGGCCCATTCAGGGATGTGTCTCTCTTACATCACTGTTTCTCTCTCTCTCTTTCTCTCTCTCTCTCTCTCTCTTTCTTTCTCTCTCCCTCGCTCCCCTCCCTTCAACTCTTTCTAAAAACAAAACAAAACAAAAAAACCTTGGATAAGAATTAACAAAACAAATAAACAAACAAAATAGAAAAGTAGATAAAAAACTGTGGTACATACATACAGTGGAACATTACTCGGCCACATAAAAGAATGAAATCTTACCATTTGTGACAGAATGATAGAGCCAGAGGGTATTATGCTAAGTGAAATAAGTGTCAGAGAAAGAAAAATACCAGATGATTTCACTTACATGTGGAATGTAAAGAACAAAATAAATAAACAAAATTGCAATAGACTCATAGAGAGCAAACTAGTGGTTGCCAGAGGGGGGTGGGATTGGGGGACTAGGTGAAAGAGGTGAAGGGATTAAGAAGTACAAATTGGTAGTTACAAAAGAATCGTGGGGTTTAGGTAAAGCACAGGGAATATGGTCAATAATATTGCAAAAACTATGTACGGCATCAGTTGGGGTACTGGAAATATTGAGGGGAACACTGTGTCAAATACATGACTATCTAACCACTATGCTATATACTTCAACTCAATACAAAATAAAGTGAAATAAAAATACAAGCAAAAATAACCATACATAGGGAGATATACATGGGAAAAATCTATAAAGATATCATCTTTAAAGATGACACAGAAGGTGGGCTCTCTTAAGGCACACATTGTTGGCAAAACGATGTTTTGAGGTTGATTGGTGGGTCTGTAATTATTATGCTTCATATCTGATCTATGACATAGATTCTCAACGTATTTGTCAACTACTTTGTATTTTAAAAATGGAGGAACCAGCCCAGGTGTGCTGTACTGTGGAGATCAGGCATGGAGAGATGGAGGGCATGCAGCAGAGGTGGGAAGCTTGTGTCAGTCACCGTGGCTGAGCCTGGAGGTGAAGAGAGGCTGTTGTGAAAGGAGAATGTTCTCCTGCTGAGGCCCAGACCTCCTGGAAGGTAGCTGCAGCTGCTGAGAACCGGTTTCATGAAGTTTTATTAAATGTACCAAACTGCAGCCTGCTTTTTGGCCAATGAAATAGGTATAGTTCTGATTCTAAAATATATAGCTCTTATATTTGTCATCTTCATCATCTTGACATTATTTTACTCTCTCTGGGCAACAGGTGCCTTTCATTTCAAGAAGTTTTAGTTTTTAAACTATATTTCTTAACACTTACCTTGGTTATTTGCTTGTGTGGTTATTTTGTTCTATATCCAAAGTCAAATCTTGTTTTGCCTTTTTTCTTTTTTTCCAAGTTTTGTCATGTTGTCATATTGCTTTTATAATTTAAGGATGAGGGTGGAGGGGGCAAGGAGGAGGAAAAGAGAGAGGTGGGGAGGAGGAGGTCTCCCTCCCATAGCCAGAATGACTAAGACAGTGGTCTAAAGAGGGGCCTGCTTATGGTGGGCAGTGGAGCCTCTGTGCTGTGCCCAGAGCTGGCACCTGTGGAGGACCCTTTCCTGGGATTGGAGCAATCCTCAAAGCTCCTTTGAGGAGGCCATGCCCACTCCTTCGTCTTGGGTGCCCAGATGTGGAGGACTCCCCCAGCCCAACCCCAGGAAGCAGACCCAAGATGACATGTGTGAGTCCCTGTTCTTGACTGGTTCAGAACCTGCCTCTGCCCTAGACCAGCCTGAGGACAGTGGGGGCAGTGCAAGACCAGAAGAGGCAGCTGGGGGGCCATCAGGGCCCTCTGAAGGCAACTCTGGGGGTGGGCTAGTCATCAGCTTTCCCAGCCAGGCTTCCTACCTCTGTCCCCCACCCCCACCCCAAGCCCTGACCTTAGGGAACCTGGCTAGCTTCTTGAGACTGTACCCACAGCCCCAGGTCCCAGCCCTCCCTGAGGCAGACCCTATTCCAGACATGACTCCTGGGTGCAGATCTGCCTCCCTGCAGGCAGAGAGCCTGGTTGATGTCCAGGGCCTCCACTCCCACCTGCCACCATGATGGCCTAGACCAGCAGGGGCCACTCAGCCCCTGCTTACTCAGTCCTTCAGGCTTCCCTCTGCCCCCAGCCAGTGGCCCCAGAGAGAATGCTCTCCTGAGCTCCAAGCTCAGGCTAGGGGGGTTGGGGAGAAGTGCAGAACCACCATCTGGTTGTAGTGATGAGATTCAGACACGAGGCAACTCATTAGGGGAACAATCGAGACAGCATATACTTAAAGCCCAGGATCTGTCAGGCAGATTGTGCAGGAGCTTTGAAGGAGGCGGAGGGGGACGGCAGATGGGTGAGTAGGTGGGACTGGGGGAAGGGAGGGCAGGGCCTGATTGGAAGCCCCAACTCCTCCTCAGTGATAGGATGGAGAAATCAAGCTATCTCCCTTGCAGTGTAGTCTGAAAGGTAGGAAACCACTGCCCAGGCTGCCTGGAGCAGGAGGGGGCACTGAAAGCTCTCAGGGGTGATTTGGGAAGGAGTAGGAGAAATGAGGCCAACAGGCCTGAAAGCAGACAAGAGGGTTCCAAGGGCAAGGAGCGTGGACCTGGGGCAGGGGCTAACAGGGAGGGAGCAATGCAGCAACCCCTGGCTAGCTGCCCCAACTAACCTGAAAGCACAAGCTACCCCTCTGTTCTGGGGAGTTCAGGCAGTATTTTGGGGCCCTGGCTCAGCCGCTTCTGCATGGAGGAGGCATTTTTGATGTTGTCCATGTTCCCTGGAGATCTGAATGCAGCCAGGAGCACAAGGAAGAACCTCCCACTGGGCTGCTGACCTGCTCTCCTAGCTGAGTGTTGCATGGGCAGTTCCTCCATCCTCAGTGGTCCAGGGATACCAAGGACTCCTGTGGGCTCACCAGGGGCCTTGCCTCTCTCCTGTAACCCCTGCACATGCTCACAGTGAACATGACTTCCTGCTGCTGGAAGGGGTGGGCTGGGAGCCTAGGGATGTGAACCAGGCTGAGCAGGATGGCTGGAGGGGCTGTGAGCCAGTAGAGCTCCCTCCAGAATTCATCTGCTCCTCCTGCATGATTTGTAGATGTTCCTCCTGTACCCCAGAAACTTCTAAACACCCTGGACATCCAGGGGAACCAGGAATTCAGAGGTGAGAGAAGGCAGAATTCAGGAATCAAGACAGGTTTCAGAACTTGTGGTTTATTGACACTTGAGCACAGCAGCCCTGGGAGGAGACTGCCTTTCTAACCTCTCACCCTGGGACGTGTTCCTACAATCAGGGAAAACAGCTATCCTGTCTTGGGAACCCCCCCCCCAAAAAAAAACCTAACTCCCAGGAACCTCACTGAAACACACAGATAAACCCTTGGCAAGGCTGGCACAGTGCATGAATGGCAAAGCTTGGCAGATTTGGCATAGCTGTGGGGCCTTGGTAAAGCACAGGCCCCCAGGGCTGCCCTCTTTGGGCTATGGGCAGAATCAAACCAAATGGCTTATTTTGCCTAAGCCCACCTGGTTTCTGTTTAGTTGGTGTGGGGGCCAGGCCTAGGGGTACCTTGGACCCTGGGAATACTGCTGAGGTAGGTGGGGAAGGGGCGAGGCCAGGGACTATGTGCAGGCCCAGGGAGGACAGGTGACAGGACTGTGGTCAAAGATAGGGGGCGGCCAAAAGCTGACCCAGGACCTCAGTGGGCCTGTGCTTCTCCCTGGAACCTGCACCCTGTTGCTCTCTCCCTAAAACACCCATTTCCCAGTCCTGGATGCTGAGCACAGGCTGGACTGGGGAAGCCATGCATTCGCCTCAGGATTTCAGTGGGTTGACTAGAGGCCACAGGGAGCCCAGCTGTGCCTGCCCCTCTCCCAGGCCCTCCCACCTCTGCTGGCTCAGGATCAGCTCTACCTGTAAAAGCAGGGCTGGAATTCTCCAGCTTTTGTATTCCATATAAGGCGCTAGCATCAGTAGCTCAATTCTTTTCCAACCCACTTAATTTCAAGAATAGACACTAGTAATACTTATTCACCCTGCCTGCTGGCAGTGGGGGAAGGGCCCTCAGCACTGGCAGCATCTCCCCAGGATGTGCTGGGCTTGCCCCCTGCACCTCCAGAATTCCAGGAGCTGCTGCAGGTTCAGTGCAACACTGTGCCCTACAAAGGGGAAACTGAGGCCCAGGGAAGTGCAACGGGAGACTTAACTCAGCTTGCACAATAAGCCAGCGGCAAAGCTGGGACTTGAGAAGAGGACTGAGGTTTCCAGACCAGTGTCTTGACTAGGGGCCCTCTTGGGACTGTGTCCTGAGGAAGTGGACCAGGGTGCTCAGAGGCTGCCTAGTGGCTCCCAGTGCAGCCCAGTCAAGATGGAAAAGTCCTGCTCTGTGCCTAGGTGCTTGCACAGGCCAGCCCCTAAGCAGCAGGAGAACAAGGACTCCCTGGGCTGACAGGGCCACACCAGGCAGCAAGGGTCTCTGCTGGGTGTGGGGGACTTTGACCCCAGCAACCTGGCTCTGGGGTGGACAGGCATCAGGACAAGCCTGGAGAAGTGTCTCGGTGGAGCCTCAGACCAGGGCACAAACCAGGCCACCAACTGGTGTAATCCAGACTCCACGCAGTGAAGCTCCTCTCTTGGCAGCAATCAGTGGAGTAAGATTAGCAAAGAGAAAAACAAGCCCATTGCTCCCTCCCTCCATTAAGGTTACGCCCTCACGATGCCAGGCTGGTAGTGAAGGGTGGGGCCATAGCCAGCCTGCTGCCAGCCTTGAGTTAGAGGGGCTGATGCTTTTGGCCCTCAGAAGGCAACGGGGCCTTCAAGTTAAATGGGGTAACACATGGTCATGTTGGCTGCCAAGTATTCTCTGAATTGCAGTGACCATATTTAAGATGCCGTTTACCATGAGGCCCTAAGCAAGGCATTGACCACATGGCCTCAGTGTCTTCATCCTGCTGTGGGGGGTACACTCAAAGCATGTAGGCGGTGGGTCCCCAAGGCTCCTTCCCTTCCTGCTAGACAGCCCAACTGCCTCAGGAGGGTTGGCTCTCATCATCTGCTCCTTCTCCAGGACTCCCCTCAATGCCACTAGGATCAGGGGGCTCCCTGCACAGGCCTTCCTGGGCCCCTGATGCTGTGGGTGGATTTAGAACACCTCTACAGGACCTTCGGGCCTTGGGAACCTGGCACCAAGCTTCCTCCCACCGCCCTGCCTCGTAGCAACATTCTGCTGAAGGCTCCGTTAAGCAACCCACTGCCCTTCCCAGACTTGCCAGCCTCTGCCTGCAGCAGCCCTGCCCAGCACTGCAAGGCCAGGTCCACCCGCCAGACACCCGTCTCTCTTGGCCTGACCTCCCCCTGGAGCCCTCACCCATCCTTGCCACCTTCAACTCCATACAGCAGTTGTATTGCCCCACCTGACGTGAGCAAATGAAGTCACCTAAGCTTCACTTTTCCAGGGCAGCAAGGGACACCAATGAGCTCTCTCACAGGCAGTCAAGGCTTGGGGCAGACAGAGCAAGGCCACAGAGCAGAGGCTGCCAGCTTTTGGCAGAAAGAGAGGCAGCTGCTAGGCGGGCGGGATAGACTCCCAGCCACATCCCTGCTGCCTCCAAACAGACCCACAGGCTACATCAGACTTGCCAGAGCCTCTTACGTGTGTTTCCAAATGAAACCAATCCAACTACCAACACACAAGTCATTCTGTAACATTCCAAACAGCAGCAAGGACCTGCCTGCTCATGGAGCTCAGGTCCTCTGTCTAGGGTCCAGCCAGATACCAAGTGGCAGGGCCAAGGAAGGTGGGGATCAGGCAGGGACCACGGCCATCCTGAGCTCCTGTAGTACAGTCTGGCCTGGGCCACGTGGCACAGCCCATGCTCTTAGGGACCACCTTGCTGACTGTCATGGCACAACACAAAGAGGCAGAAGAACTCTTCCAGGAAGAATTCTAGCCTAAAGCATTCACTGTAACAAGATAAATCCTGCTTTTGTGGAAACTTAAGACATGTCTACTGGAACCCATCACAGGCCCTGCAGATCTAGCCTTCCCTAAAAACCGTTTAAGGCACTTGAATGGCTTATTAACACTACCTGGAAAGGTTTTTGTTTCAATCTTGATTCAAGAAAAAAATTCAGTAATACTGCAAAAGAAGTTTCCCCTAAAAAGAAATCAATACATAAGTTTTCTAAGGAATAAAATAAAGGCTAAGCTCAGCTTAAGTTATTTGACACAACAGGTCACCTTGGCACTGACAGAACAAAAACGAAATCTGCAATACTGCTTCTGCATTAGTCTTTTCCCTGCAACAAAAAAACGCAAAGACTAGTGCGGCATCTCTGAGCTTCCCCTCCCTGGGTGTGCGGGGGACGAGAGGGACCAGTGAGGCCAGGGATCACAGGTCAGCAATGCCATGATGCAGGGAGGCGACCGCAGCAGATGTGATCCCAGTTCCTCTCCAGTTTGGGAAGTAAGCTTGGTCAGCCAGGCCCCGCCAGGTGCGTCTGCAGGCAGAACCTTCCCAGCTGCAGCCTATGAGGAATGGATGAGAAACTTGCACTGGGCACCCAGGATGTGCTTGCAAATACCATGGCTCCGGTTGTCTCCAAGGGTCCCACACACAGCATCCTGCTGCCCCACACGCATGCCTGGTGTCTTTGGTCTGGCTGCAGTCAGTGACTGTGGCCTCTGGTTCCGCCCCTGCCCCATGGGGAGCAAGAGCCAGTCCACTTCCTGGGTCATCTTCTCTTTGGTAAGGCTTCCTTTGGAGGATTCCTTCCTTCTACAACCTGTCATGAGCGAGGTGTGACACCCACTGCCCCATGCAGTTCCACAGCCATCAGGAGGGGCCAATGCAAACACCATAAGGGGCCTGGGGATCCCAGAGAAAAGCACTGCTTGGGTGGCGCCAGCCTGCCCACCGCTGCCTGTTGCGTCCTTAGGCATCTGAGGGGAAAGGTCATAGGGTGGGGACCACCAGGGGCCTGGACCTCCTAGCTTTTCCATGGAGTGTTGTTTTCTGGCTCCGAGAGGTCAGAGGGGAAGTCCTGGCTTTTCCTGTCTGCCTGGGCATCCCCAGCCCCCTGGGCCTCACCCTCCAGCAAGTCTTGGGGGTCCTTGAGGAAGACCACCATGACCGTAATGTTGTCACGAGAGCCCCGCTCCCGGGCTGCAGCCACAAGCTCCTCGGCTACACGCAGCCCGCTGCCCTGCTGCCTGACCAGGTGACTCTGCACAATGCCGGCCACCTCCTGGTGGGGAACTACGTCAAAGAAGCCATCACAAGCCAGCAGCAGGTAGTCTTCAGAGCCGGTGAGCTCCCAGGAGGCTGCATCTGCCTCTCCAGACACGTAGGGCTTCTGGCAGACATCCCCTGAGGATGGGAGAGAAATGCCTTGTGTCAGAGGATCAGACTGCCTGCAGCTCTGTCCACCTGCCAGGCCTGGCCTCACTGTGGCCACCCCTCCTCCAACACCCATGCTCACGGGCAAGGACACAGGGTAAAAAGATAACTTCACGTGGAGGGGATATGACAGATTTATTTTGGTGTTCCTGAGGGAAGACCCAGAACTTAGCAGGGCCAGAGTTCAGCTGCACAAAACAGCTTTCTCACTCCCCATGGAACAGGGCCCAGAGTGAGCGGCCCAGGACATCACATGAGCTATGGTCTTGGCTCTGGCCCTCCTGAGCTCCTGACAGCTCCCCTCAGACACCTGACAGGCAACTAAGCTAGTTTTTCCTCCCTCACACCTCAGCTTGGAAAATGGCATCACCATTCCCAGGTACTTATGTCCAAATCTGGGGGTTTCTTAATTCTCTCTCACCCCCCCATCTAACCTGTTAGCAAGTCCAACTGGCTTTACCTCCAAAGGCAGCTGAAACTCCCCTCTTCTCCTGGTTTCTACAGCTCACACCTCACCCAGACCCGAGAGCTTCCACTGGCACCCTCCTCCTGCTCTTGCCCTGACAGTCACTTCCCCAAGGAGCGTGAACTAGACTCTGGACTCTGTCACTCCTAACACCGAGCTTCCCAGAGCTCCCCTCTCCCGGAAGAAAACCCCCACCCCCTTCCACATGGACAGGCCTGTCCCCACCTCCCTGTCCTGGTATGTCCAGAGACACAAGGGCAGAAGACACAAGGAGAAAGGCTATAAAGAAGGCAACACACCCGGCTGGTGTGGCTTAGTGGTTGAGCACTGACCCATGCACCAAGAGTTGGCTGGTTCGATTCCCAGTCAAGGCACATGCCCAGGTTGTGGGCCCAATCCCCAGTGCGGGGCGTGTAGGAGGCAGCCAATCCCTGTTCTCTCTCATCGATGTTTCTTAATTTTTTTTAATCCTCACCCAAGGACATTTTTCCATTTTTTTGTTCAGATAGAGTGGGAGGATGAGAAAGAGAGAGAAACATCGACGTGAAAGGGACACAATGAGTGGCTGCCACCCGTACGACCCAACCAGGGCGGGGGACACTGCAACCGAGGTACGTGCCCTTAGCGGGAACCGAACCCGGGTCTCTCTGGACCACAGGCCAACGCTCTAACCACTGAGCAAAACTGGCCAGGGCTCATCGATGTTTCTATCTCTCTCTCCCTTCTTCTCTCTCTAAAATTAATAAAGGAAAAAAAATTTAAAAAAAAAAAGAAGGCAACATGTCTGGCAAGAAGGTCAGACATTTCAGGAGGCTGGAGGAACAGATGTCCTATCATAGGAAGGGGGTGATTCTTAAGTATCTGAAGAAGAGATGTGGCTGTTGAGCCCCAGACTAAGGCGTGGCAGTGACAGGATGCTGAGAAAATAGAATGAGGCAGGTGGGGGGCTGCTTTGACTTCAGATTTTTTTCTGTTTTATCCTCACGCCAGGATATTTTCCCATTTTTTGTTCAGATAAAGTGGGAGGGAGAGAGAGGAAGAGAGAGAGAGTGAGAGGAGAAACACTGATGTAAAAGGGACACGAGTGGTTACCACCTGCACGATCCAACCAGGGCTGGGGACAAACTGCAACCGAGGTACACGTCCTTAGCAGGAACCGAACCCAGGTCTCTCTGGACCGAACCCAGGGTGATGCTCTAACCGCTGAGCAAAACTGGCCAGGGCTAGCTTCAGATTTTATTTTTTTACTTATCCTCACCGTAGGACATTTTTCCATTTTTTGTTCAGATAGAGTGGGAGGGAGAGAGAGGAAAAGAGAGAGAGAGAAACATCGACATGAAAGAGACACATTGAGTGGCTGCCACCTGCACGACCAACCAGGGTCGAGAAGACAAATTGCAACTGAGGTACGCGCCCTTAGGGGGAACCTAACCCGCGTCTCTCTGGACCGCAGGCCGACACTCTAACTGCTGAGCCAAGCTGGCCAGAGCTGCTTCAGATTTTAAAAGACAGAAAAAAAGAATCATCAGCATGAATGAGAGATATAAAACTCACTCACAGAAATTTAAAGCTTATCTCCCAGCTAACCAAGGGTTTCCCTATAGACTTATCTGAGGAAGTGTTTCAACAAAGAAATAAAGACATGCCCTGGGTCCAGTTGGTGTGGCTCAGTGGTTGAGCGCTGACATATGCACCAAGAGGTCGCTGGTTCGATTCCCAGTCAGGACACATGCCCAGGTTGTGGGCCCAATCCCCACTGGGGGGCATGCAGGAGGCGGCCAATCGATGTTCTTTCTCATCGATGTTTCTATCTCTCTCTCTCTCTCCCACTTCCTCTCTCTAAGAAACCAATAAAGAAAAAATAAAAGACATGCCCTGACGTGGGTTGCTCATTGGTTGGAGCGTCGGCCCTTGGACTAAAGAGCCGTGGGTTCAATTCACAGTTAAGGGCATGCACCTGTGTTGCAGGTTCAATTCCTGGCCCCTGTCGGGCACATGTGGGAGGCAACCAATCAATGTGTCTTTCTCATATCTAAGTTTCTCTCTCTCCCACCCCTCATTCCCTTCCACTCTCTAAAAACCAATCAATGGAAAAAATATCCTTGGGTGAGGAATAACAAAAAAAAAGAGAGAGACAATGACATATAACTTGAACCACAATTATCTGTGTGAGATGTCTGTGCCTGCACTCTCCAAATTCCTTTAACAATCTGATTGACAGAGTGGCGCAGCGGAAGCATGCTGGGCCCATAACAATCTGATTGATAACACATCCCTATTAACGACAGGTACTTTTTCAGCACATGACACTGTCCTACCAGCTGGGTCCAGAGGCCTGAGCCCTGAATGGCCTTTCTTCCCCACCCTTCACCTCCTTACCAATGGCTCTGGAGACGGCCAGGGTTCCGTTGACTCTCCAGCAGTCCATGTGAGACACAAAGCCTCCCAGGGCTTCGATGCGCTCCTTCTCGTCCTGCGGGAGACAGCTAGAGTGGGGGCCTAGGTGCTCCGACAGGGCAGGGTATCTAACACTGCCAGCCGGAAGGAGATGAACTGGTTTCTAAGACAGCTAGGAGCCACAGCTCTTGAAAGATGCCCAAATGAGGCATTAGTACCACAGTGAGAAATTATAAATAACCTAATCATCCTTTAGTTGCAGGAATAACTAAATAGGTTATGGTGCAAATACGGACAGGCCACTCAGAGGCACTGATCAACAGCCTGTCCCTGAGCAGTGTTTCAGGGTCAGAGAGATGCTCATGAGGCAACAGAAAGAGTGCGAGCCCCAGGTCCCTCAGCTGCCTTGCTTTTCATGCAGAACACTGTCCCTTCTCTGTAAGCTGCTGGGAGGAGACCTAGCATGTGCTATATGCGGCCATCTGGCTAAGCTGGATGGACCTGAATCAGGCCCTGGACAAGCCCTGTGGCTCTGGGTCATCATCCTTCTCCTCCAGCCACAGACCCTGCCCAGCCCCTCAAAGGACTGTGGTGCTCCAGGCCTGAAAGGACAGGACAGAAGACCAGTCCAGCCATGAGTCCTAAAACCTCTTTGGGTCTAGAAATTTCCCTGAAAGGTTTCCAGACGTGAGCCTGCTGCCTGAAGGTGGCAACAACAGCACCTGCTGTTTGATGACAAGCCTGAGGCTTGGAAGGGTTGGAGCGAGGCCCAAGCATGAATATCTGTCCTTGCTCTTTGCCATGGTGCCACTCTGCTGAGCTCAGGCAGGGTTTGGAAAATGAGTGCCCAGTGGGCCTCAGAGGAGGTGCTGGACACTGAGTTTACATGGGTGCAGCCGGTGGGTGCAGAACTGGCACCCCAAGCAGAAGTTTGTATCTAGTCCTAACTTGGCCACATGTCACCTGGCTGCTTGTCTTGGGGTAGAAGGGCCCACCAGAGAGCAGGCACAGGAGGCCCAGGAATGACAAGAGAATCCTGCCTCTTCCTGGCTGTGTGCTTTGGGCAAGTTACTTACACTCCCTGGGCTTCAGTTCTCTCCTCTATATAAAGGGGACAGCATATGTGGGAGGCTGAGCACAGGCTGTGAGCTGCTGGGAGGCTAAGGAATGCTGTCATTCTTGGCTGTTATGATACTCCCTGCAGTGCTTTCTACAAGCCACAAAAGAAAAGACAATTCCACACAGTTACATAAAACCAACACTTCAAGATGGAAAAGCCCATAAAAAAGACGAGAGCTCAGTGGTTACAGCCTCAGCCCGCGGACCAAAGAATCAGCGGGTTCAATTCTGGTCATGGGCACGTACCTCGGATGTGGTTCAGTCCTCAGCCCTGGTCAGGGTCATGCAGGAGGCAGCCAGTCGATGTGCCTCTCTCACATCGATGTCTCTCTCTGTCTCTCTCTGCCTCCCTTCCTCCCTCCCTCCCTCCCTCTCTATTGGAAAATCAATGGAAAAATATCCTGGGGTGAGGATTTAAAAAAAAAAAAAAGGCAGAATTTTCAGATTGTGGCACAGACAGGGAACTACTCTCCCTAATGTATACAACAAGGTGTCCACCGATGGTTAGGAAAAAGAGCAACAGTTCAGGACAAAAAAAATGGGCAAAGGACAGGAACTGAGGGCTCTCAGGAAAGGTAACATAAATGATCTTCAGTGTTTGAAAAGATGCTCAAGCTGGCTCCTTAACAGAAATGCAAGATAAACAAAGCCCTTCTCACCTCTCAGGCAGCAGGACCCCACACAGCCTGAGGGGGCAGTTTGGCAAATCTGTACACTCTGGCCCAGCTATTGCACTTCTGGGAATGTGCCCTGCAGATGTCCCTGACCCTGAACAAGGAAATGCTGTACTAAGTTATTTATGGCTGCCTTGTTTCTAGTACCAAAAGACTGAAAAGAAAATCTCAATGTCTATCGAGAAGAGACGGAAATGAGTGGAACTCCACCAGCCCTAGGAGAGGGTGGGCGTACCTCTGTGCTGACACCCACCAGACGCACAGGTAGGTGAAAGAGCCGGCGCAGAGCATGGGAGTCTACAGGCACCCCCACTCCAGGCAAACTCTCACTCTCCCTCCGCCCAAGATAGAACGGACACTTCTGTGAGATATGGTCTGAGTAAAAATATGTCATCCTCGCTTGCAGGTGAGAACCCTGAGGCGCAGGTGGGTGAGTGACCTCAGGTCTCCACGTAGCGTCTGCCTACTGAAGCCCCAAGCCCGGTTCCTTCCAGCCCAGCATCACCTCCTCCCTGCCCTCCTTCCCCAGAGCCCAGATGAATGGCTCCTGGCCTGCGTGCACAAGACCCTGCGTGCTGACTCCATGTACTAGGCTGCCTGCAGCTCTCCCTGCAGCTCTGGGTTCCATGTTGCTGTGACAGGAGGGGTTCACTTGGGACTACTGGCTATTAATGTCCCAAACTTTGAGGACACCTGGCCACTGGAGTCAGGTAGGGAGCTCACCCTGTGGAGGAACGCCAGAGGGTTCCTGGGAAGATGGTTCAAGGTCCCTTTTACTTCCCATTTGCCCCAGCAATGCCTGGCCAGGGCTGCCTGACCATCTGCTTCCCTGACAGGCCCAGTACAATGGGGCCAGGGATGTCTCAGGTGTGTTTGGAGAAAGCCCCTTACCTGTCGCTCAGGTTTATGCGGCTCCATCAGCTTCACCACCTGTCCCTGCTGTACCAGGATGACCTGGGAGTCCCCGAGCCAGGCGATGTGCAAGGTCTTTCCTGTGATGAGCGCACACACGCCTGTGGTTCCGCTCTGCAGCCGCTGTGGGAAGAAAAGGCCAAGCGGGATGAGGGCGGGCCAGGCACCTGCCCCGCTGGCACATGTGGTCCAGACTGAAGAACTGCTGGAAGAGTGCTCGGTCAGAGAGGGCCAAGGGCTGCCAATGCATGACGGGCACCGTGAAGGCCACAGATTAGATATGTGGAAGGAGAGCACGTCCTGTGTGATCTTATTGACATCAAACTCTGGAAAATGCAAAGTATTGTCTGTCGTGTCAGAAACCAGAGGAGTGGGGAGCAGGTGGGAAGGAGGGCAGGACAACAGGGCAGGAAAAAACTGGGGTTGATGGATACGTCCGTTATCATGAGGGTTTCACAGGTGTAGGCATATGTCAAAAACTATCAAATCAAGAACTTCAAATATGTGTAATTAATTATGTCAATTATATTTCAATAAAGATGTTTAAAAATAATAAACTGAACTAAACACCTGCTTCAGAGAATCCTTTCTCAACTCTGAGAGACAGCCGTGAGCTGGGAGACGTTTCTTACCTCCTAGGGGTGACAGTGGCCAGGAGGGCTGAGGCATGTCAGCTTTTCACTGGTTCCTACCTCACCATTTTAGATGCCTTTCAGTTTTTTGTTAAGTCCAGCTTTGCTGATTTCCGTTCTATGCTCAGGGCATCTGATGCTGGTACAGCCCCCACCCCACATCTCCTCACCAGCCATGTCAACTGGGCCTGTTTCCCGATGTCTAAAATAGGGGTTGGGGGTGGGGGTGGGGGCATTCTTTCTTTAGAAACAGATGCCTCATCTCCGTGTGGCCCTAACTCCCGAGGAAAGAACACTCCCAGCGGACACCACCTCCTGCTGAGACCCTGCCCAGAAGCACAAGGGGAAGAGCGGCTGTGTACTAATCATGAGTTTTGTTTTGTGTATTTTATGCTTTGACAAATCAGGAGCCTTGCTAATCCTAGAGAGAATGCCCCCTACCCCACAGGCCAGCTGATTCCTAAAGATAGCTAATGTCTCCCCCAGCGCACGTTTCATGCACAAGCCAGCAGGTCATCAACCACCATGTCTTCAACCACCTCCTTTGTATCTCACGCTGGGCCAATGTCCCCCTGGCCCGAATGGCTGGGGACTACCCCTGTAGCCCAGAGCCTGTAGAAGTGATTCCAACTACCCAATCCTGAGCTCGCTGTGACTGCTGGCCCTGCTTCACACCTGCCTTCCTGCAGAGGCCACAAAACGAAGGCTCTGGCCATGCTTTCCTCTCTCCCTCTGCCTCCTGACCCACATGGTGCTTCCCGTGTGGCACCGTGTGGCATGGCGTCTCCTCTTGGGAACTGTAAGCAATGAACTCCTCTAAGTAATAAACTCCTCTTTCAGGACAGTTGCCTGTCAGTAATTTTACTGTGCTTTATTTATTTATTTATTTTTATTATTATTTTTTAATCCTCTCCGGAGGACATTTTTCGATATTTTGTTCAGATAGAGTGGGAGGGGGAGAGAGAGAGAGAGAAAGAGAAACATCGACGTGAAAGTGACACATCGAGTGGTTGCCACCCGCACAACCCAACCAGGGCCGGGGACAAACTGCAACTGAAGTACGTACCTGTAACGGGAACCGAACCCGGGTCTCTCCGGACCACAGGCCAACGCTCTAACCGCTGAGCCAAACCGGCCAGGGCTTACCGTGCTTTATTAAAACAAAATCCCGGACACATCTTAACACAGCCAGTCTGTCTTCCCCGTGAAGCCTACAAACCCTCTGCAGTGGGGCAGGTCCACATTGCAGCAGGGCCAGGCTGGACCAGCAGCAAGCTTTACGTGACTTCTACGCAAATGAAAAACAAGCCCCCTTGGCTAGAAGAATGAAATGACATGACTGCCAGTAGCATTTAGTAAGGACTTTCCAGCACCACCAAGCACTTTGATTTCTACCCCTCTGCAGAGCTGGGGCTCTCCGATGCTAATGGCTACTAGCCCCCACACTGCACAGGAGGTCGGTCCACCTGTTCTCACCTCTCGCTTGGCTTTCCAGAGGAACATCTCATCGGTGCGCCAGAAAGCTTCCCTGAGGGCTCTCTCGGGGTCTACGGGCAGCTCCGGCTGGCGAGCAGCGTTGGCGTGTACGTGCACAGCAGCGTACCTCGCGGCATCCACTCCTCCATGACCATCAAACACTGCAAAGTAGGCACGGTTCACGGGGTCCTGGTGGGCAATGCAGTGGGAGTCACCGCCCTGCTGGCCTCATGCCTGACCGAGGCTGTGACCCAGCCAGAGGCTCTCATCAGGGACTGACTAGAAGGGTCAGGAGGGGGTCTGGAAGAATCAGCATGGCCTTCGCCATCAGACAACCCTCCAGAGCCTCAGGTCCATCTTCTGCACTGGGCTGCTGGGAACCAAAGATGAGGCAAGATGTACTGGGTGGCTCCCAGTGCTTGAGACAGTGTACGGCTCAGCAACCATGAGTCCAGGTGAACTTGGTGTCTGGGGCTTACACTTATAATAGATCTGGGAAAAGCCTCAGTCCCTCAGCTGGGAAAGCAAAGTGGCTAGTGGCTGTGTGAGCCCAGAAGTGCCAGGATAATGACCTGGGCCTCCCAGACCCCCTGAAAGAGCTTGGATATGTCTAGCACCTTGGCCTTTGGAGGGAAGCTGTAGGCATCACCCCTGCCTCGGCTCTGGCTAGAAGCTCTGCTCAGCACTGAGTGGTTTCCCACCCCATATGCACGCCCTCCTAGGCTATCCTAACTGAGACACTGGCCTCATGTGCTGTCCTAAGGCCCAGCAGGTGGCGCACTCACGGACAGGCCGAAGAGCTGGTTGAAGGCAGGAAGGCACACGTGCCGGTCCTCCATCCTGCGACGAGTGTTCCGGATGGCATGAATGGAGACCAGCCACTGCTGCTGCGGAACCTGGGCAGTCAAGGGCACCTGCTTCTGCCACTGGCTGCATACTTCCCAGAGCTGGTTGAAGAAACTCCGCGCCAGGCCACCGGCATCCAGCACTGTTGTGCAAGATGGAGGGCTTTTAGGGAAGCAACAGCGCAGGCCAGCTGGCACTCCGCTTGCTCTCCCTGCTCCCCCTTCCTGTGGCATCTGTAGCTCTCCAGACAACTCCATCACAGGCCTGCACAGGCCCCTCCTGCCCAACACCCCCCAGGCACAGCAGCCTAATAAACTATGCATGGCAAGCTGTGTTATCAGCAGTGAGAAGTGCCTGGCTTGGCAAGAGGCACTAAGAGCCTCCTGCCCTCCGGTGGAATACCTCCACTCGTGGAGCCCACCCCAAGGAAACAGCAGGAAATGCACAGATGACTTAAGGACAAAGAACAGAATCACTTATAATTTTGCATTAATTGTAAACAATACATATCCATGACAGAGTAAATTATGGTCTATTCTGTTAACAAAGAATTAAGCTACTATTAAAAATTATTCTTGCCCTGGCCGGTTTGGCTCAGCAGTTAGAGTGTCGACCTGCAGTCCAGAGAGACCTGGGTTCAGTTCCCGGTAAGGGCATGTACCTCGGTTGCGATTTGTCCCCGGCCCTGGTTGGTCGTGCGGGTGGCAGCCACTCGATGTGTCTCTTTCATATCGATGTTTCTCTCTCTCTCTCTTCCTCTCTCTCCCTCCCACTCTATCTGAGCAAAAAATGAAAAAATGTCCTCAGGTGAAGAAAAAAAATTATTCTTGCCCTGGCCGGTTTTGTTCAGTGGTTAGAGCATCGGCCTGCAGACCAAAGAGTCATGGGTTCAATTCTGGTCAAGGGCATGTACCTCAGTTGTGGCCCTGGTCAGGGTCGTGCAGGAAGCAACCAATCGATGTGTCTCTCTCACATCAATGTCTCTCTCTCTCTCCCACCCATTCTATCTGAAGACAAACCTGGATGAATCTCCAGGGAATTATGGTGAATGAGAAAAGCCAATCCCCCAAAATTATATACTGTGTGATTCCATTTATATGCATTCTTGAAATAACAAAATTATGGAACTAGAGAAGATTAGTGGTTGTCAGGGCTTGTGGGGGTGTTAGGGTGGCCATGAGAACATGAGGAAATCTTGTGGGATGAAACTGTTCAGTAGTTTCACTATGCCATGATATTTCAGTATAGTTTTGTAGGACGTTACCATTGGGGGGAACTGGGTAAAGGATGCCTGGGATCCTGATGTGTTATTTCTTCTTCTTTTTATCCTCACCTGTGGACATTTTTGCATTTATCTTCAGATAGAGTGGGGGGAAGAGAGAGAGAAACATGGATGTGAGAGAGACACATCGACTGGTTGCCACCCACACAAACCCCACCAGGGTGGGGACAAACTACAACCGAGGTACGTGCCCTTAGCAGGAATGGAACCCAGACCTCTCTGGTCCACAGGCCGACGCTCTAACGCTGAGCAAAATCAGCTAGGGCCTGATGTGTTATTTCTTATAACAGCACATAAGGCTATGGTTCTCTCAAATAAAATTTAATTAAAAAAACTAAAGGCTAAAACAAAAATGGGCTTTTACAGAGTTTGTAAGCATATTAAAGAAAAACAATTATATTAAGAAACCATGTCGTGAAAAGAGGATAGAAAATTCCACTACAGTTTAATTACGAGTACATGGAAAAGTCTTCAATCACCTGGACCTAGAAAATAAACGGCAGGAAAGGCAACCACAATGTCAGCAGTGGCTGTCTGCAGGTGGTGGTTTACGAGTGATGTTTCTTCTTAAGTACACTTTGTTTTAGTGCTTTCCCAATTTGCCTTTACAAGTGTTGGCCCCAGATGATGGTTTTAAAAATACGTCTATAGCCTGGCTGGTGTGGCTCAATGGACTGAGCATTGTCCCATGGACTGAGAGGTCCCGGTTCGATGCCTTTTCAGGGCACATGCCCAGGTTGCGGGCTCGATCCCCAGTGGGGGGCGTGCAGGAGGCAACCAATCGATGTTTCTCATATCAATGTTTCTATCTCTCTCTCCCTTGGGGAAAAAAAAAAAATCAATAAAAACATATTTAAAAATAAGTAAAAACACATCTATATTCCTGGCCGATTTTGCTCAGTGGTTAGAGCATTGGCCCGTGGACAGAAGAGTCATGGGCTCGATCCCGGTCAAGGGCACATACCTTGGTTGTGGTTCGTCCTGGCTCTGGTTGGGGTCGTGCAGGAGGCGGCCAGTTGATGTGTCTCTCTCACATCAATGTCTCTCTTTCTCTCCCTCTCTTTCCTTCTCTCCCACTCTATCTGAAGATACATAGAAAAATATCCTCAGGTGAGGATTAAAACACAAAAAAGTCCATAAATTATTTGATACTGTTCCCTTCAAGAGGGAATTCAATTTCCTTCTCTTGAGCGTGTAACTTAGTGACTTGCTTCTGGTGAATAAAACCGAAGTGACCATGAGTGACTTCAGATAATAGGTCCTAAGAGGCACTGTGGCTTCCACCTTGCATGTCCTGTCTTTCTCACTGTCTCTCTCTCTCTCTGTCTCCCTTGTGAATCGCTGGCTCTGAGGGAAGCCAGCTGCCATGTCATGAGGATGCTCAAGAAGCTCTGCAGAGAGTCCACGTGGTATGGAACTGAGGTCTCCTGCCAACAGCCGTGTGACTGAACCATTTTGGAAGTGGAGCCTCTGCCCCCACTTGCCTTTATCTGACCTCATGAAAGACCCTGGGCAAGAGCCACCAGCTCAGTTGCTCCCAAATTCCAAACCCACAGAAAACTGTGGGAAAATAAATGTTTTTTTAATTTATTTATTTCTTCTTTTTTTTATCCTCACCCGAGGACACTTTTTTTTTTTTTCAATCCTCACCCAAGGACATTTTTCCATATTTTGTTCAGATAGAGTGGGGGGGGGGAGAGAGAGGGAGAGAAACATCGACATGAAAGAGACACATTGAGTGGTTGCCACCCACACGACCCAACCAGGGCCGGGGACAAACTGCAACCAAGGTACATGCCCTTAGCAGGAACCAAACCCGGGTCTCTCTGGACCGCCGGCTGACGCTCTAACCGCTGAGCCAAACCAGCCAGGGCACCAGAGGAAACTTTTCCATTTATCTTCAGATAGAGTGGGAGGGGGAAAGAGAGAAAACATTGATGCAAGAGAGACACATCAATTGGCTGCCTCCCGCGTGACCCCAACCGAGGCCAGGGACCAAACTGCAACCCAGGTACGTGTCCTCGACCAGAATGGAACCCGCGACTCTTCTGTCCACAGGCTGATGCTCTAACGGCTGTGCCAAACTGTCCAGAGCTAAATGTTTAATGTTTTAAGCCTCTACATTTTGGGGCAATGTTATGCAGCAACAGGTAATGTCTACAACACAGATTTTAAAAGAAAAACTAAAATCATACCCAAACCTAGCTCTAAAGAAAAGATTAACAAGGAACAAGACCACAGGAAACCTCAGGTGCTGCACCTCAGAGACTGAGTTCATTCTGATGCACAAACCCTCCTGGGGCCCCTGCTGGCCCAGACGCTGGTAGCAGGTACAGCTGAGTCAGGGCTGGTCACTTATGAGGGTGGCCCCAGGGCAAGGAGTTGGAAACGGCAGACTCAGCTGTGACACAAACCACACTTGAAGGATTTGGGGAGCTGGAGAAGAAAAAGCTTGTGCCCAAAGGCAGTGGCTGCAGAAGAAAAGAAGGGTCAAGGCCAGGGGAGGCAGGGCGGGTCTGCAAGTGCAGGAAGCCTTGGGGAAGATACATCCAAGGAAATCCACACATCAGGGGTGTCTAGAACTGGCTGCTGCCACCACACCCAGAACTTGGTGGCCATTCAGGCATTTGTTGAGAACTGGGTTTTATCAGGTCTGAAATATCCAGGGAGGCACAGAGCACCGTTTATTCTCTCGTCTAAGGCCACGCTACTGTTTTCATCAACATGTTTAAACTTGAATCTTGGCTCCAGCAAAGGGCAATTACCAATGGGAATGATAAGCTACGGGGAGCATCACCTGGCCCACTCACTCCTGATGCTACTCACAGGATATGCCTGTTTTCCTGGTACATAAGGGAACTGTCACTGAGAAGGGGTCAGGTGGTTCCACCTGACCTCATACAGAGGTCTTAGTCACATCTCTGCCCTTGGGTGATGAGTCTCATAACACCCACTGATACGACTTTAACTAAGTTCCACTCCCACAACAGGGACAGCTGATCCCAGTGAGACCAGGCCTGCATGGGGGGCAGGGGCAGGAGGCCCCAAGTGGAGGAACAAGACCACACTGCCACACTGCTCCTTCCCCTCCAGCAGGTGGCACTGATTTCCTGCCAGGATGAGGGCAGGCAGAGCTGTGGGGCAATAAATTTGCAGGCTTTGCAGAGGACAATGGCTGCCTGTCACTGAGCTGCTGTCTTTCACGGAAGCAGGGAGAGAAGCTTGTGCTGGGATGAAATGAGAGCAGGGAGCCTAGGAAAAGGGTAGGGGACCTGGACAGAAGGGCCCAGCACCTAGTGCAGGAACAGGCTGTGTGTTTTCCTTCTCTTTTACTGACCTGTTCCTGGCTTCGCCTTCAATGCTCCCACTAATGCAGAGATGGTCACATAATACAGGCATACCTTGTTTTATTATGCTTTGCTTTATTGTGCTTGACAGATGTTACATTTTTTATAAACTGAAGGCAAGACCCCACCACCACCAGCAAAAAGATTATGACTTGCTTTATAGCAGTGGCCTTCAAACGAGTCCCCAGTATCTTGAAGGTATGCCAAATTGACACCTTAAACTTACACAGAGTGATCTACCAATTAAAAAAATAATAAAGTAACACAGTCAGATAAGAAATGGCAAAAGAACCCTGGCTGGTTTGGTTCAGCGTCGGCCTATGGACAAGAGAGTCCCAGGTTTGCTTCGCGCTAAGGGCACGTACCTTGTTTGCGGTTTGTCCCTGGCCCCGGTTGGGGTCATGTGGGTGGCAGCCACTCAATGTGTCTCTCTGACATCGAGGTTTCTTTCTCTCTTCCCCCTTCTCTCCCTCCCACTCTATATGAAGATAAATGCAAAAATGTCCTCGGGTGAGGATAAAAAAAAAATGGCAAAAGAAAGGCCCTGGCTGGTTTGGCTCAGCAGTTAAAGTGTTGGCCCACAGACCAATGAGTCATGGGTTCGATTCTGGTCAAGGGCATGGACTTTGGTTGAGGTTCATCCCCAGTTCTGGTCGGGGTTGTGCAAGAGGCAACCAGTCGATATGTCTCTCTCACATCAATGTTTCTCTCTCTCTCCCTCTATCTCCCACTTTGAAGATAAATAGAAAAATATCCTTGGGTGAGGATTAAAAGAAAAGAAAACAAAAAGAAATGGCAAAGGAAGGGGAATCTGCAGAGGCTCCCACTACCCCAGGACCCACTCTGTCTTCTGCATCCCAACTGGCCTTCAGCCCTGCCTGCAGCCTGAGCAGCACCTTTCACCAGAGAGTGGAGTGACTGAAAGCTGGCGCCCAGCCGGGGCCCCCCGCACACTCCGCCACAGGCCATAGAGAGCAACCCTGGCTTGCTGCAGTTCTCGTCCGACATGAACTGACACTTTGGTGAAATACAATAGAAAGGAATGACTAGGAAAGTGGAAGGAAGGCATATAAAGTAAGAGCAGCCCTGCCTTTTTTTCTTTCTTTATTCTTTTTTTTTTTTTTAAATCCTTACCTGGGGACATTTCTTCGTTTTTTGTTCAGATAGAGTGGGAGGGAGAGAGAGAAACATTGACGTGAAAGGGACACATCAAGTGGTTGCCACCGCAAGGCTCAATTAGGACCGGGGACAAACTGCAACCGAGGTATGTGCCCTTAGTGGGAACCGAACCCAGGTCTCTCTGGACCGCAGGCCAACACTCTAACCGCTGAACAAAACTGGCCAGGGCTTTTTTTTTCTTTATTAATTTTAGAGAGTGGAGGGGAGAGGGAGAGAGAGAGAGAAACATCGATGAGAGAGAATATCAAGTGTCCGCCTCCTAAATGCCCCCCACTGAGGATCGGGCCCACAACCTGGGCATGTGCCCTGACTGGGAATCAAACTGGTGACCTCTTGGTGCATGGGGGGATGCTCAACCAGTGAGCCACGTCAGCCAGGGGAGCCCTGCCTTTTTAAGATAAGGCTCACTCCCTGTTTCTGGGTCCCTCTTACTACATGGCTCGGGATTGCCCCACTAACCACTGTCCTAGGAGCAGGCTGCTTCCCCAAGCTCTCATGGAAACCCAATGAGCCTGATGGGGTTGGGTCAGGCCAGGCCATGGGTCAAGCTCTGACATTTTCTACCAGCTGGACATCAAGGCTGCCTCTGGAAACCCACTCCCAAATCACCCTCCCAACTCCCACTTCACCATGGGGCAATGTTGGCAGAGGCAGAAGAGCAGAAGTGTGACCAAGAGTCAGGACCTGGTGTCCTCCCACGTAAAACAGGCCACACATTATGCATCCCCTGGCCGTTCTGAAGGCATGAACAGCTGTTGGCTCCCCCTGCTGACTTCAGGCTGTGAGTGCTTTATCTGCATCTTGATCCTGTTGCCCCTTCAAGTTTCTCACATGTGCTGCTGCAACCATCTTTCCACCAGCAAAATGTGAAAGGAGATGGGAGTCAGGTGAGCCCTGCTTTCTCCCACACTGGTGCTAGCCAGCAGGCTGCCCTTTGTCTGGATGCCAAGTCCGTTGCCTGTTAAGCCTGGGGTCCCAAGAAAGAGGAGAACTCACGGGTCACAGGAGCCTTCTCCTCCTCTGCTTCCTCGTTGTCTTCCTCTTCCTGCCTGGGCAACTTCCTGAATTCAGAAAGGTCTGTCTGCAGCAGCTGGGAAACTGTTTCATGGGCCAGAGATGAAGCAAGTGGTGGCGGAGCATTCCTGGGATGGGAATGAGAAGTGAACTGGGGCCGGCTCCTCGGCAGAAGCCAACAGCCCAGTCCCTGCCTGAACCCTCCAGGGGGAGACCTCAGGGCCCCCTCCTCCCAGGGAGGCCCCTCTGGAGGCATTAATGACCACTTGCACCCCAACATGGGGCCACAACAAGATCAGCCTCTGATCCTTGGGGAGCTGATGTCCACATGACACCATTCACTGAGGCCTGTGCTGCTCCAGACGTGGGTTGGGACTGGTGAGGTGGGGGTAGCACAGATTTGTGAACTGTGTCCACTGGCCTCTGTGGCCAGGCTAGACAAACTGTCCAATGCCAGTCTGATGACAGGTGCCTGGTCTCCAATGCCAGCTGGAGATCTCTGGGTGTTAGGGAGCTTATGGGTTGAATCGTGTCCCTCAAAATTCCTATGTTGAAATTCTAATCCCCAGTACCTCAGAATGTGATCTTGTTTTGAAATAGGCTAGTTGCAGATATAAAGGGTTAAGATGAGGTCACCCTGGAGTAGGATGAGCCCAATCCAATAACACTGATTTTCCTTATCAAAAAAGGAAATTCGGACTCTCTTTCTCTCTCTCTCTCCCCCTCTCTGCTATGAGGATGAAGTCAGACACCGGAATGATGAACCTACAAGCCAGGGGTGGCCAATAACCACCAAAAGGAACCAGTCATGCTGACACCTTCCTCTTAGACTTCCAGTGTCCAGAACTCTGAGACAATACATTTCTGTTGTTTATGGCCACCCCAGGAAACAAATCTAGGGAGCATGGGACCCTTGGGCTGTGCTTAGAAGGCTGGGCTGTGCATGGCCCACAGGGTCTGTGGCCCATCAGAGTAGTTGGTACAAGGGGATGTTGGGGGTAAGGAGGCAGGTGTCAGGGAAATGGGGAGCCATGACCTTGGTGTGTTTTGAAGAGGGATGTGACATGGTGGGATAGGCTTCTCTCTGGCCTTTCCATTCAGGGTGGACTGAAGGGTAAATTCTGCAGAGTCCAAGACTCCAGCTGAGCAGGGCCTGGTGGTGGATGGGAGAGAACAGAGCAGGCACTGGGCAGGGGACCACACAGCTTCCACGTCCACAGTGAGTCTCAGGTTCAGCTGAGGTCAAGAGGCCTAGGGCCGATGGGCATGTGGTCTGGACTGGAGATGGGGCCGCTAAATGAACGGGGGTGAAGGCTACAGCCTGAAGGAGCTCGCCTGGGCAGAGAGCAGCTGGAGGGACGGGAACAGCTGGAAAGGTGGACACCTAAGGCTGTGGAGGAACAATTCTGGGAAGCAAGACTTGGTTGAGCACTTTGAAGGTCACAGCCAGGCCACCCAGAACAGAACGGGGGGGTCGGCATGGGCAGGAGTGGGAAAGCAAATGGAGGGAGGAAATGGAACTTTGTGCACAGGAGAGGGACAAGTGGCAGCTCTGAGGAAGTCATGGGGATGGAGAGCGTGAAGCCAGTAGGGAAGGACTATCGGAAATTCTGCTACAGGTGCACTTTTCCATGGACTCTCCTGCCTGCCTGCCCAGCCTCCAGCCTTGGGGCCAGCTTCCACACCATGTTCCTGGGAAGCCCTTCCTGGCTCCCCCAGGCATAGGGATAGCTACCCCTGGTACCCCACAGCCTTAAGAACATATTCTGACCCCAGAATCTGCCTTCCCACCAGTGGTAGCCCCTTGCAGGATACAGGATGTGTGTTCACCACCCTGTGCCTTTCCCCGAGGGCTGGGGACCAAGGCCCAGGGTGGGCGGCCTGTGATTCTCTGCTGGGTTGACACAGTGAACTTGACCCTGAGGTCAAGGACCTCCCAACAGCCTGGCGGATGGGTCACATCCCTTTAAGGCTAGGTATCTGTGGTATCTATAGATGGTCTTAGAAATCTACTGGGATGAATGAGAGGCTGACTCAGGGAGAGAAGCCTCTGGAACTGCCTCTGAAAAACAAACAGCCAAGACATGAGAAATGAGTTCCTCTGCTATTTGAGGATTTCCTGCCCACCACCGGGTTTTCATTTTTCAATCCAGGGAGAAGGGGCGCTTGTTCTCCTTGCTCCTGGTGAGGTCAAGCTGTGCCTTCCTGGAGGCTCTCTGAAGTCCCACTGCTGAAGCCACTGAGCTTCCGGCCAACGGGACCCAGACAATGCCTGGCTTTGGGCCACAGGCTTGCTTCCTGGATGCCCCTCCCGCTCATGCAGGAGTTCAGCACAATACACTCTCAAAGCACTCAGGCCCCGCATCCGTCGGGGCTCCAGAGTGGCCAGAAGACGCTGTGAACAGGACAAGGTCTGTATGCGAGGCCCAGGGACTCAATTAACGCTCTAGTCTCACCCACCTCGGGATTTTCAAGGAGTTTCCAGTTTAGTAGTAGAGATAAAAAACCACATAAATAATATAGTGTAAGGTATACACTGCTTGGGGACCTGAGATGTGACTCAAAACTGCTAACAAGAAGGGGAAAGACAGGATGTAAATTATCACACCCTTGAGCTCAGTGACCTGACTTCCAGACACTTTCGTGAGATACCATCCACAACCTGAAACACTCCATGGACCAATGTGCTCGGGCCCCTTCATCCCAGAGCCCACGCACTTGAGCTCCAGGAACAGGAGCCCGCCAATGGGAACATGCGTGGGGTGCTCCTGACAGTCACACACAGTGTGGACGACATGTGAATATCCACATAGAAAAAAACAAGAAAAGGACAAAAATAACGAAAATAAATTCACAAAGGTGACTAGAAAACATGACTTTAAAATATTACATTTTAAGGTGCTTTAAGGTGGATTCACAGAGGCTGGCACCACCCCCTCCAGCCTCAGGCCAGGGAGCTGTGAGGTCTCTTTTGTCACTAATAGTCTCAGGCCCCTGCTTTGTCATAATTAACAGGGTGCCCATTTATCGCCTGAGACCAGGGTCTGCTGCCACCTCCTGCCCCTCTCAGCCTCACCTGTTGCCAGGGCCTTAAGGCGCCCCATTCCACTTCAAACAAGTCCTGTTTTTCTATACATTTACTCTGAGACACCTGCCTTCCATCACAACTAAAACTCACTCCCCTCAAGGTTCTGAACCCCATAGACACTGCAGACCAATTCCTGACTTCTCTAGCCCAGGCCCCTCTCTGGGCAGGAGGGCAGTCACCTGCTCCTGCCCACCACCCTCTTCTTCACCCCCCACCTTTTCCACTGCTGTGAAGCAAACCCCGCCCCACCGTCCTGGACCCCCCCCTGCATACCACTTCTCTGAGCCTCTCCTTCCTCCACCTGGGAACTGACCCTCAAGTTGGTGCCCCTCCCAGGCCCCAAGCTGTGGCAAATCCCTCTTCTGATGCTGTGCCCCTTGCCCAGAGGCCCGGCTAACTCAGGGATCTGCTGTCACCTAGGCCAGCTTTCCCACCTTGGTCCCCAGCTTGTTCTTCTCTGTCCCATGGACACATCATCCTTGGCACAGCCGTGTGCTGGGTCCTCTTGTTCTCCTCAAGCCCTGGTCAGCAGATCTGCCTTTCCTCCCACAACCCCTGAAACCCACAGAAGGCACTATCGCTGCTGGAAAGACACCCTGTGGCCTGGAGTCCCCTGATTTCCCTTCTCCCCTGTGAGTACAGTTGCGGTTGTGCCTGGCCAGCTCCCTCTTCTCCTGTCCTTCGTGCTCCTGGCCCTAAGGAGGCAGAACTCTGGGAGCCCTCCCAGTTCCCACACCTCTAGCACCCACCTAGCACCCACAATGTGGCACCATCAGGTTCCAGGCCCACTCTGCTCCACCTGCCTCTAAAATATTTCTTCAAAGCCAGACAAGCTAGCAACTCCTCCATACACGCGCTCCCCTGAGGAACACAGCCACTGGGCATTTTCTCCTGAGCTCTGTAGGACCATGGGGGATTCTAGGATAAACGTGGCCCAGAAGTAGGCCCACAAGCAGGGGCCTTTGTGCTCAACAACCCAGGCTCCCATGCCGCAGAGTGGGCAGCTCTGCTGGGGGGAGGGGAGGAATGGAGCTGACCTGCCACAAAGGAAGCACACTGAGACCAGGACCATGTCCTGATTCAGGGGTGATGCAGGGCCTGGGGATTACAGGTGTGGACCCTCAGGGAAGGATAAAGTTTGCACCACATGGCCCACCAGCCAACACGCCATGGGCCTCCCCATATCTCCCTTGACATCTGCTAAGCTGGTTGTGCTCCCTTTCTGTGTCTCAGCTTCCTCATCTGTGAAATGGGGGAAGCACCACCACCTCTCTGTGGGTAGTGTGGCCTGCATGCTAGGCACATAGCCAGGCCCTGCCCTGCCCCAACATGAAGGCCTTGGCCAGTCTCCTAATCCGTCTGGCCTCTGTCTCCCCAGCTGTAAAACAGGACAGAAACAGTGCCTACTGCTTAGCACCTGTCACAAGTTGAATTATGTCCCCTAAAATCATATGCTGAAGTCCTAACCTACAGTGATTCATGTGACCTTATTCAGAATTAGGGTCTTTGCAAGTCATACTAGAGCAGGGTGGGCCCCATATCTAATAGGACTGGCATCCTTACTAGAAGAGAAGACACACAGAAGACAGGGAGAGACGCCACGTGAAGAGAGACACATGGGAAGATGCCACGTGACAACAAAAATCAGACTGGTTTGGTGTGTCTCCAGACCAAGGCACACTAAAGACTGATGACACCAAAAGCTAAGAGAAGGGTCTGAAACAGATTCTCTTAGACGGCCTTTGCTTGAGAACATGGCCCTGCTGACACACTGATCTCTGACTTCCAGCCTCCAGAGCTGAGACAACACATTTGTATTGCTCTGAGCCACCCAATCTGTGGTGCTTGTTAAGGCTGCCCTTGGAAACCAACACAGTGTTGTCACAGGGATTCATATGGGGAACATAATTTGCACAAGGCAGATGTGTGGGGTAAATGCCAGGTTCAAGGTCTGCATGTGACACGTGGCATGTCCCTTCCTACTGCCCTGTGCTGTCCCCTCCCCGTGGGTACACAGCCTACCTGCTGCTGAGGAAGCCCACCGCCAGCTCCGCCAGCTCGCCCTCCACCTCCTCCTCGCTCAGCACTGTCCCTGGGATCTTCCATGGCAAAGGGCTCTCTGGGCTCAGTGGGGCTGGGAAGTCACGGAGAAACTCATCCAGGAAACTGGGGATCTCTTCTGCCATCTGGCTGCTCTGCTCTGGGGCTCCAGAGGCCATGCCCAGAGCATCCCGGGGGCCTGCTGCCAGGGTTCCAGTCAGACTTCACTCTAGGGGAAGACATGAAGGTCAGTAAAAACAGGGAGCATTCGGCATCCTGCTGTGGGTCTTCGGGCCCTACAGTGCTGACTGCTAGGTCTCCCAAACCCCCAAGCATCACACGGCAGGTGCCACGCCAGGCCTGGGGCTCAGGGCAGAAGGGCAGGGCCCCCCAGCTTCACACACACTTCAGGGGGTCCAAGTAAGTGGGAGGGACAATGCTGGCTGGTCTGATCTGAGAGGATGAAGGCGGAGAGGGGGCGGCTAGAGAAGCAGCTTCAGGAGATGGAGCCAGGAACAGTGATTGCATGGAAGTCCTGAAGGCAGGCGTATTCCTGGCAGAGAAGGGTAGCATGGCCAGTGGTGGGGAGGAAAGGGACAATGGGACCAGGCCACTGAGGCAGATGAGGGGGTTCAACTTGATCCCAGGGCTTGGGCATCCAGGAGGTGAGGAAGTGATGGCAGTAGCTCTGTGAGCCTAGAAGTGGCACACAGAGAAAAGAAGGGTCATCTGTTGCAGGAAAGAAGAAAAAAGCATGGACATAATGGTGGCAGGGCCCACATGCAGGAGAGGGTTGGCTCTGGACTATTTCAGAGATGGACCGGGACATGGGCAAGGAAGGGCTCCCCCACGGCTATGGGGCACCCCAGGGTGTGGGCAGGAGGGAAGCAGAGGGTTAACCCAGCACAGTCAGGGGAGTATGGGATGTGGTCAAGCCTAATAAGTCCAAGCCTCCTAAGGCCCCCTGGAAGAGAGGCACTGTTGAGAGCATAGGCCACTGACCCCTCTGTTCCAGGAGAGCTCCAGCCTCAAGAGCTCTTCCTCCCAGCAACCTTAGGAAGGTGGAGGGCTTACTAGCTGCCAGCCCCTGTGCATTATCTCAAACACTCCTGGGAACCAGGACGAGTCACCCCATTTCACAGATGGGAATACTGAGCTTGGGGAAGGGCAGCCCTTTGCCTAAGAATGGATGATGGGGTCAGAGAAGGATTCTGGAGCCCAAGTTCACCCTTCTCTCACATCTGGAAGAAGCTGTCACTCACCCCCATCCTCAACCCCAATGTGGGACTCCAGCTCCTCTCTTTCTCGGCTGAGAACCATCCTCTCTACCTCAAATCCAGCCCCTTTCTTCCCAGCCTGCCTGTCTCAGTTTGTATGCTAGCAAAGTCCCTATCAGACACCTCCCAATGACCCCAAAGGTCTGCTAGACTCCTAACTCCTACTCACAGCCCTCCAGACCCAAATAGTCCCATAGAGCTTCCATTCATTGACCCTCAGGGTTAGCCTCTGTCACCCAACTCCGCCACCCTTCTTCAATCCCTCTCCAGGCCCCAATCCCTAACACACACACCTGGGTAGTCACCTCCTATCACCACCCACTCTTAACAGGCTCCTCGCTCTCACCCCTTCCTCTCTTCCTCTCCATAGCATCCAGGCTAGGAAAGTGTCTTTGAGAATGAATCCCACAAATTTATCCCCCAGAGAAATAAAGTGTTTGTTTCTTTCTTTTTTTAAAATGTATTTTTAGAGCAAGAAAAGGGAGGTAGAGAGAGAGAGAGAGAGACATGATGTGAGAGAGAAACATGAGTCGGTTGCCTCCTGTATGTGCCCAACTAAGGGAATCAAACCCAATACCTTTCAGTGCACAGGACGAAACTCCAACCAAGTGAGCCACACCAGCCAGGGCAAAAGTTAATTTTTAAAAGTAGACACACAGAAATAGGGCCACATGTGGTAGAACACGGGGACAGACATAAGCTCTTTTTTTTTTTTTTTTTTTAATCCTCACCCGAGGATATTTTTCCATTTTTTTGTACAGATACAGTGGGAGGGAGAGAGAGGAAGGAGAGAGAGAGAGAGAAACATCGACGTGAAGGGACACATCGAGTGGCTGCCACCTGCACGACCAACCAGGGCCGGGGACAAACTGCAACCCAGGTACGCGCCCTTAGCGGGAACCAAACCCAAGTCTCTCTGGACCGCAGGCCAACGCTCTAACTGCTGAGCCAAACCAGCCAGGGCCTTTAAGCTCATTCTTATCCTTCCATTTACTTGCCAGCAGAAGAGAATACAATGCAGCCCCAAGTTACAAAGGCAAACAAGTAAAAAGCTCAAGAATATAAAACAAAGAAGGGAGACCACTGCATTTCACAGGGTAAGACTGTGAAACAGAGAGATCAGGAAAGATGGGGACCCCGTGGGGTGGTGAGGGTCAGCTGCAGAGGAGGCCAGCCAGGCTGCACCAGTGCCCACAGATATGAGTCAGCTAGTGAAAACATGACAGCAAGAATTTCCCAGCAGGCTTCAACACCCTTGGGCAGAGAAAGAGGCCTCCTCTGCTTTCCCCTCCTCTGCGTTCAAACATTCTGGCCTCCTGTTGCTTAGAGCAGAGAAATGTGTGATGCAGAGCTGCCCTAAGCAATGCTGAGTGCCCCAGGCCAGGCTGAGAAATGCTGAGCCCAGAAATAAATACACCACTGGCATTGAAATCTCAGGCTCCAAATGAAAGGACAGCATGCTCACTGACCTCCCAGAATGCACAAGAGGGCCCCAGTTTAAGAACCCTGGCCCACGGTATAAAGCACAAAGTTCAAGGCTCCTTTCACCTCTGACCTCACTTGTTGGTGGTAGTGCAGCTGGACATTTTGTAATGTAGGAGCCTCCTAGCCTTGGGATACTGTTTTTTGTGCCTGGGACCTCCTCCCTACAGTGGGCCAGTTTCCCTGGGGTTTCGGGGCCCCTCCTCTCTGTACTGCAGACCTGGTCTTTGCTATGCCCTGCTCACCACACAGGGCACAGGCCTGGACAGCAGCCTGAATGGGACATGTTTGCCAAGGGTGTCGGGGGGGTGAGGTAGCACCAGTATGACAGTGTTGATGGCTTCCGTTTTCTGGGGCCCAGATGGTTTATAACATAAGAGTAATTTCCTTCCCTGCCCTTCCTTTTTTCAACAGAGTCCCGCCTATGATGGAATCACATGGATATGAGCAAAACAATCCCTACCCTTGGGAGCCCAGGGCCTAGAGATAAAGGCATGAAGGGGGAGGAGGTGTGGAATTCCTAACCCAAAGGGGGACCCAGAGGTGGCCCTGGGAGTGCCAGGAAGGGTGGGGCCAGTGCTGTGGCCCTGAGCTCTCACAGGACCAACTGAGGAGACACGGTCTCAGGAACAATGCAGTGGCCAGCAGGCAACAGGACCAGGAAGCACAGGAAGAGCTGACGCTGAGTCTGATGCCGGGATAGCCCAACTGGGGATGCTGGTGAGGAGCTCAAGAGGGACTTGTGCACGAGTTTGTATAAGTTACCAAAAACCGGGGTGAATATGGGAAGGATACTGGGCCCCTAGCTCCAAATACCACCTGCCTCTCCCAGTCTAGCTAAAACCTGGCTCCTGGAATGACACCCCTCTGCGCTGTTCATCAACGGGCAGCCAGAGTGGCCAGAATGACAGCTAATATCTGCCAGGACCCCACAGGTGCCACCAATGCTTTGAGTTCTCTTCCTGGATCATCTCTTTTCACCTTCCAACAACCTGCTATCCTCACTTTATACTGGTGGGTGTTGCAGCATAAGGGCCAAGTAACTTGCCCAAGGACCCTCAATAAGGTTCATGACTGACTCCTAACTGCAACAGATACCCTGCCTATCCTGCATCAGTCACTAGCCCCAATTCGGTCTCTCTCGTGGCCCCATTTTTCATTTCTGTGCCCCCTCACCTCTATGCTCCTGTGCGTTGCTGGGGGGTAGCATTGCATTTTGCCCCGAGACCTCTCTAATCCAAGCTCTGCTGAAATCACACCACCTTTGGAGTCCAGTCCTCTGTCTTCTGTGGTTCTAGAACACTTGCTGGCACCTGACTTGTAAAACATCCATTTTTGTCCCCATTTAAAATATGGACTTTCCCCAAGTTTACTAGTTTTGACTCATAAGCTCAACTAACACTTATTAGTACAACAGCATTTTTCTAGGTCTGGACAAAACACTTGTTGAGTCCTGCTTGACTTCAGAAGTCCCGTGGGGGGAAAACAAACAGCAATCCTTAGAAAGGGAAACTACACAACTGTTACAAAAGTACTGTATTCATTGTTAAATTTTTTTCTACAAATGGAGAATCTTATTTACTTCTGAATAACTATTGGGAAGAGTATATAAATACTTCCCAGATCTTTATATACATATGTGTATATAAAACCTGTACATATACATTTATACATTTTATGGTGAAATATACATAACACACAAATTACCATTCTACCCATTTTTAAGTATACGGTTGTGTGGCATTAAGCACAGTCACACTGTTGTGCAACCACCACTTTTTACAGGCTTGACTTTCTCACTAGACTGTAAGCTCCCTGATGTCAGGGAGCCCACCTGTCCTCTCGGGTGTTCCTTTGTGCATGGCAGCCGGCAAGTGTGATGGCAGAGGGAAGGTGCTAGCTTCCTTCCACCACCCACTAGTGGATGGTGTGGGCTGAGATGTGCAGCCTAAGGTCTGGCACCTTCTAAGAGGAAGCTAAAACACTCTGTGGAACATGTGGGCAGCAGAGAAAGGTTTTTATCAAGACAGCGTTGGCATCAGGCGATATCTCAAAGGAATTCTACAAATGAACTTGTGTGGAGGTTTACAGCTTTCAAAGTGGCATTTTTTTGTTTACCTTTTACAACTATGCAGAAAGTGAATGCTGTTAGGTCACATAGCAGATTGAAGAAATAGGCTCAGGGACAGTGAGCAACCCATCTAAGGTCACTAAAGCAAGGCTGGACTCAAACAGGACCTTCAGATGCCTTTATCAGTTCCACTTGGGTTGCCAGAGGAAAAGACTGAAATCTGACAACAGGCCGGACGGATACAAGCATAAAGGCCAGAAGTGAGCTGGAGATGACCTCAGAGTGCTGGACCTCAAAGCTCCACCCAAAGAACTTGCCCCAGGGACTGCCATGAGGACATGTGTCACTCAGGGCATGTGTCTGGCTGGGTGGAAGGCTGGGGGGAGAGGGGGAATCCATCAGCCCTGCATTAAAATCCCTACAATCTTCCCTATTGCAGGAAGAGGTTAAGGGGCTTGTCTGAGGTCACACAACTGCAGTGGTGGAGCCCATGGCCTCCTTGTCTGAGGTTCTATCTCACACAAGTCCCGCTCAAGATGCTGCAGCCCAAGCACTGGCTTTAAATAAAACACCTTAAATACATTTGGGGTGCCAGAAGGCCATGGGGTGGGGGCATTTGGGCAGAGATGCAGTCCTACAAAGATGCAGGAGCTGCTGGGGTAGGAGTCCTGGCATTGGGCCCAGCCCAAATGCTCTTGGGGGTGAGATGGAGCGGAAAGGGGCCGCACTCCGGGCAAACGCGGGCGGTTCATCCGTCAGCACCCCACTCTGCTTTGGCCCTCGTTTCCACCTGGCTTTGACTCGGCCACACCCCCACTCGGCCAAGGGCCCCAAGTTCTGCACCCTTGGCTCCCCAGCCCGCCCAATGTCCCGTCTCAGGTTCCTCAGCAGCTCCTCCTGCTTTTCAGGCCCCCACTCGGCCCCCTAACACTTTGAGTCTCTCCATCTCGGCCTCCCTGCCCCCGCAGCCCCCCACTCCGCCCCCTCTGGTCCTCGGCGCCCCATTTCACCCCCGCACAACTAGTGCCCCCACCCGAGCCTCACCCCAGTGCCGTCGGCCCCGTAGTCCCGCACCCCGGGTTTCTTCACCCCCAGGTCTCAGCGGGCCTCACCTGCCACTCTGCCGCTTCGCGCCCCGCAAGCTGCTCAGGCCAGCCCCGCCTACTTCCCGTCCCCTGCCGCCGCGGGCGTCGCGCAGGCGCAGTGGGGCCCCTGGAGGGCGGGGCCGGGCCTTTGCTGCCCCCTGGCGGCCTCCTGACCCGTAACGAAGGTCCTTTCAGTTCAGATGCAGAGCGGCCCCTCCTGGATTCTGGCTGCTCACTGAAGACTTGCTTCACCTCTCGAGCCTTGAATGGGTGGGTAGATGGGGGAAAGCAGTCCCCATCTCACAACGCCCAGAAATTGAGCAACTTGTGCAGTCAACATCCGTTAAGTGGTAGAGCAGTGAACACCCAGATTGCCTACAGCACGCCATCCATCAGGAGAGGAGGCCTGGGCCACCATACGTTTAGAGACTATATAAATTTCCAGTTGCCACTATGACAATCACCACAAACTTACACAAATTTATTAACAGTTCTGGAGGTTGGAAGTTCTCAAGGTCTCAATGGGCTAAATTCAAGGTGTCAGCAGGTGCGTTCCTCTCTGGGGATTCTAGTGGGAATCTGTTTCCTCACCTTTTCCAGCTTCCAAAGACTGCCCCGCTCTTTGCTTGTGGTCCTTTCCATCTTCAAAACTAGGGAAGTAAAGACCCTTGTGATGACATTGGGCCACCCAAATAATCTCGGATAATCTCCCTATTTTAAAGTCAGATGATGAGCAATCTTACTTCCATCTGCAACCCTGATTCCTTTTTGCCACATAGGGGCCAGAAGGATATAGACATGTTTGAGGGCCATTTTCTGCTGCCACAGAAGCCCACAAAACTGTTTTAATGCCAAAAGAAAGAAATGACCTTTTAGGTCAAAGAAAATGTTTTAATATACACATTTTAACAGCTGATAAATCAATTCTCACTCCTGTTCAGGTTTTACTGATTTGAAATAATGAGTGAAGCCAGACTAAGCTTTGAACAAAGAAAATGTATCCACTAGACTTTTTTTATGGGGATACACAAAAGTATATAGTACAAAAACAGCAACAGTTGACAAATTGAGGGCAGCTATTGAAAGAGAATGCACACAAATACTGAACGAAATGATTCTTGATCTTTGCTATTCCATTGCTTCAAGTTATCAGCCATGCCTGGACCAGAATGGTCATCAGTTTGAAAACAGGCGTTGACAAAAAAGTATTCATTTCTGTAGATACTTTTAAATTTTGAAAATTAACTGTATGTTAATGTCTGACTTTATAATCATTCAAATTGTGTATACATTTTTGGAAGATACCCTGTTATCACATTAATATACTCATCTTTATATCGATGCAGTTATAAATACAATTTTAAAAATCTATTTTATGGATTAAGGACCCTCAAAAGTTCTACAGTGGCCCTGCCCACCTGACTTTCAGGTCCACACACCAGCCTGTATCCTTTTTCCCCAGGAATTAAGGTCTCAGGGGTGCTTCACTAACAGGAAAGTGTTCATGAAGCCAGGAAACTGGAGAACTAGCAGCTGGCAAATTTGAAAGGAAACCATCTGGATGGAGGTGGGTCTGGAAGTGAGGGGGTGTCTGGGCAGATAAAACAGAGTGAAGGCGAACACCTCCTTAGATCCTGTTGCCATGGACCTCTGTTCTTTATGAAACCTTTCCTCAGCAGCTAGTGTGATCCTGTTAAAACAAAAATTCAGAGCATGTTCCTCCTCTGAACTCCCCAGTGCCTCCCCATTTTATTCAGAGTAAATTCAAAGTCTTAGATCTTACACCATTAGTCCGCGCCCTTTACCACTCAAACCTCATCCCCTCCTACTCTCCTGCCCCCCGTCACTCCACTCTAGTCACAGTAGTACTTACTTGTCCAACCCACCAGGCGCTCCTGTTGCCATGGACCTCTGTGCTCACTGTTCTTTCTGTAATGAAGGATCCTCTTCCCTCTGACACACACGCGGCTCACTCTTCACCTCCTTTGTGTCTTTGTACAAATGTCTCTTTTTCAGGCTATTTCTAACCACCTTATTTAAGACTGAACACCTAAAAACACAGACACCACACACACACACACACACACACACACACACGCACACACACGGTGCCTCTTAATCTCTTTCCCTGCTTCATTTTTCTGCTTGGAACTTATTACCATATTTACTATAATTTTATTTATTTATCCTGTTTATTGTCTGTCTCCACCATTGGAATGTAAGTCCTCTGCAGACAGGGAATTTTGCTTACTCATTGCTTTTGCATGTCTAACTCTTGACTGGCATATAGTAGATGCTCAAAAAATGTTCATTGCCCTGGCTGGTTTGGCTCAAGTGGTTAGAGTGTCAGCCTGCAGTCCAGAGAGCCCCGGGTTCAGTTCCCGCTAAGGGTACATATGTCGGTTGCAGTTTGTCCCCGACCCCGGTTGGGGTTGTATGGATGGCAGCCATACAATCTCTCACATTGATCTCTCTCCTCCTCCCTCTCTTCCTCCTGCTCTATATGAAGATAAATGCAAAAAAAAAAAAAAAAAAAAAGTTCATTGAATGAATGAATAAATGAATGAACAGCACCCCAAAATTCAACTCCTGTCCACCTGTCCAGGCACATCTCTCACCTTCTTACCCTCCATGCCAAGACATAATTAACATCTGAATCCTCCTACCACACCCCCATTCCCTTCCTCCTTTTCTTCTGTAGTAATAGAATTTTTACTTAGGCACATTGCCAAAGTCCGAAGACTACATTTCCCAGGTTCCTCTGTAGCTGTGTGTGGCCATGGGAGTAAGTCATAATCAATGTGGTTCATTTTCATTTTATGCACAAATTTGCAGGTTCTTCCACTACAACCTTGATTTGTTTATTAGATCCACATCTCCAGAGGCTATCTATCTCCTTTCTGCTTTATACCCAGGTCAGAGGACAGAAAAAATATTGTGATATTAGGCATTTGGCAACATTTTTGTAAAAGTTTTTGTCCTTTGAGTAAATTTAAGACTGGATGCAGCTTTCTTCCTTGGTACCCTGGATACCACAAAAAAGCTCCTAAACCCTGGCTGGTCTGGCTCAGCCATTAGAACGTCGGTCCGTGGACCAGAGAGTCCTGGGTTTGGTTCCCTCTAAGGGCACATACCTCGGTTGCAATTTGTCCCCCACCCCAGCTGGGGTCGTGTGGGTGGCAACCACTCCATGCATCTCTCTCTCGCATCGATGTTTCTCTCTCTCCTCCTCCTCTCCCTCCCGCTCTATCTGAAGATAAATGGAAAAAGAAAAAAAAACTCCTAAGATCCATGAGTCCAACTGAGCTCTGTCTTGCCCAAATATATGATTAATTCTGATGATGATCAGAGAAGGGTCTCCCTAGTTTACCTACCTTTAAACAGGGGAGTGGTTCACAGCTCTGTGGACGTCTGGGTGCCTGTGTAAAACAGGCTTATATGAGGTAAGATGAGTTCAGCATTTCTGAGGGAGATCTGGAGGAAACCAATGAATCTGACCCAGTTCCAAGAGTGTATTCAGAAAAGGAAATTCTAGTGTTTCACGAGGGACCGTGAACGACTGACCCTAACCCTTTCCACTCCATCCTGGATGTGTTTCCTTTTCTATCCAGCCTAGACACCATGGTCAAGTCTACCAGTCACTCACTGGTCAATATCTTCATCATTCCCACCCATTTGTTTGTATAGTCTATTCAATCTTGGATCATCAAAGGACTTTTTTTGTTGCAAGTGACAGAGACTCAATTCATATTAGTTTAAGCAAAAATAAGAATTTAATGACCAGTAGGAGTCCAGGGGTCCAGCAATCCAGCAATCCAAATGATTCTAGAAGCTGTCAGTCAGTTTATGCCACATAACCAACCACCCTCCAAGCACCCATTTACTTGCTTCTGGCTCTGGGAATTGGTTGAGCAATTTTTCTGGTCTGGACTGGCTCACCTGAAGCTGAAGGTCTACAACATTTCTACTCATATGTCTGGCAATTGGTTCAATATCAGTTGGAAAATCAAATGCCTTAGGCGTGTCTTTCTCATTATTCAAGAGGCAGGCTGGTCAGAGTTTGTTCATATGGTCACTAGGTTCTAAAAGTAGCAAGACAAAGGATAAGTCCCATTAGGCACACCTTTTTTAAACCTTCGCTTGCATCATGTTTGCTAATGTCTCTTTGATCAAAATAAGTCACGTGCCTTGTTGCTTCAAGTGATGGAAAAATAGGCTCCACCTCCTCTTAACGGAAGGAACTGCAAAGTCAGCATTGCAGAGGAGTGTGCATACCGGGATGGGAACATTTTGAGAGCACTGTTTTCTTGGATTTTCTTGGATAATCTCTTTCCACACGGCAGGAAAAATAGCCCTGCTGTCTACCAGGGTATTCTCTGCTGCCCCTTAACATCTGTGGGCACCCATTCAGCCATTACGCACATGGCCAAACAGGGACGTTCAAGGGAGTTAACTAACACCCCATGGAGCAGCCCTTGGCCAATGGAAAGACAGGAACCAGTGAATGGGTATTCCTCTCTTCCACCTCTTCAGAGAGGCACATTCTACACTGCTCCTCAGATGGTGCCCAGTGAGATCAAACCCAGGTTGCTCAGAGTAGTGATCAATTTAATAATATTCTTTGGAATGGTGTTTCCTCCTTGTCAATCACCCATAACTGTCCCTTGGGATCATTGGCCAAAACAAGTCACCCTCATGCAAGCTTTTTTCTCGTGTTCTGCTTTTAGGAAACTCAAGTTGAGCCAACACCTGACTTGATGATGCAAGAGGGAAGCTGGGGACCGCAGGAACAAAGGAAGAGCGACAGAAATGGTAAGGCTCTGGATCAATGTGAAGGCCTATTTTCTCCTCTCACATTATATAATATATGCCTGACTTGAAGAGAAAAAAAAGTATCGCGCAGCCTCAGAGGATGCTGTTCAAATCCTGCAAAGGTAACTTGTACGACAACTACAGCAGGGAAGGTAGAGGAGGTGCGTGGCTCTAAGGCTTCACACTTCACTCATGAAACGTTAACTCTGATTAGAT